GGTCTAAGGGGAGAAGGAACACGCGTGGGGTGTGTGGAGAAGGATGCGGCTAATAATGCAGGCAAGGGGTCTAAGGGGAGAAGGAACACGCGTGGGGTGTGTGGAGAAGGATGCGGCTAATAATGCAGGCGAGGGGTCTAAGGGGAGAAGGAACACGCATGGGGTGTGTAGAGAACAATGCTGCTAATAATGCAGGCGAGGGGTCTAAGGGGAGAAGGAACATGCATGGGGTGTGTAGAGAAGGATGCTGCTAATGATGCAGGAGAGGGATTTAAGGGGAGAAGGAACACACATGGGGTGTGTGGAGAAGGATGCTGCTAATGATGCAGAAGAGGGGTTTAAGGGGAGAAGGAACACGCGTGGGGTGTGTGGAGAAGGATGCGGCTAATAATGCAGGCGAGGGGTCTAAGGGGAAAACGAACACGCATGGGGTGTGTAGAGAAGGATGCTGCTAATAATGCAGGAGAGGGGTTTAAGGGGAGAAGGAACACACGTGGGGTGTGTAGAGAACAATGCTGCTAATAATGCAGGCGAGGGGTCTAAGGGGAGAAGGAACATGCATGGGGTGTGTAGAGAAGGATGCTGCTAATGATGCAGGAGAGGGATTTAAGGGGAGAAGGAACACACGTGGGGTGTGTGGAGAAGGATGCGGCTAATAATGCAGGCGAGGGGTCTATGGAGAGAAGGAACATGCATGGGGTGTGTGGAGAAGGATGCTGCAGGAGAGGGGTTTAAGGGGAGAAGGAGCTCGCTTGGGGTGTGTGGAAAAGGAGCTTTTCAGCGAGCTGAGCGGGGAGGGGGGAGGGAAAGAGCAAAGAGCACTGTTGCTTTAAAGGAGCCAACCGGACAACAGCCACTTACACCAGTGTTAGCAGCTCCTTTCGTCTCCCGCTTTGCTCCTTCTCTCCCTCTTTGCTGCTTTACGCAGCTAATGGCGAATCCCCTGCAACCCAGGTCCTGCTCAGCGGATCAGCTGAGACGCTGGGAGAATCGTAATTTCCCCCTCTCCCTCATCCCGTGCCCTCCTGTCCCCAGCAGCCTTTTAAAAAACTTTTTTACTGGTTTTCACTGCGCTCGTGGCTCAGAGCCCTCCTGTGCCCTGCCGTCCCTCTGCAGCCTCATTGCTGTTTAGAGAGCGCACGGACCTTTGCTAGCTGAGGCTGTAGCAGCTGTTGCTGGCTACGCGGCACTTTTTCCGGCTCGCTATGGCTCCCGTCTGTCCCTCCTCCCGTGTAAGCGGCTGCTGCCCGCTTTGCTGCCATGGCTCTCCTTCCCTCCCTCCTCCTCGGCTCCTCCCCCTCCTCCTGGCTGTAAAGCAAGCAAAGCTAGAGCTGTGCAAAGCCCTGCAAGCAGCTCCCGCTTTGCTTGACTAATGGCAGCCATGGCTCTGGTCGAGTGCATTCACTCCGTAACACGCACAGGCATTTTCCCTTACTTTCTAGGAGCAAAAAAGTGCGTGTTTTGGAGCGAAAAATACGGTAGTTTTGGCTGAGACAGAAGTTTCCTTCACTTGTTGCTCCTGTGAAGGAGGTAAAGTGTGTAAAAAGGGAATGAGGCTTCTCTGGGGCGTGCCTTCACCATGCAAATCTGAGGGGGGGAACTTTGTTGCTCAGGGCTCCAACATCTAGGGAAGCCAACAGGGGCGCATTGGCAGGGCAGGGAAGTAGAGAAAGCTGCTAGACAGTGCAAGTCTTCGCAAGTCTACTTAGTAGTATTTCCCCTTGAATTCAATGGGGAGCGATTGCATGATTGCAGATTTAAATGCCTGATCAGAAAGACAAGATAGGGGAATTGTGCAGATTCAGGAGAAAATGAGTCTTCTGTTCGCCAACAGTGCAATTTTGCAACAGTGCAAAATTAAGTTCCATGCAGTTCGGTGGGATTTACTCCCAGGTAAGTAGACATATGATAGCAGCCCCCCTTTTTTGAGGGGGTAAGGTGTAAGAGAGAAGAAAAACTGGAAAGATAATCATATTGTGCAAGTTTCAAATATATGTGGAACTTACACATATCTCTCCACAAGCTTTGTATGCGAGTTCTCATATTTATAGCTTAAAGGAAGAAGGTGTGAGTTTTTTCTGCATCATCTTATCACTTTTTTATTATAATATGCAGTCTCTTTACATTTTTGCTTGATCCTTGTCTGTTTTCCTGAATTTTTGTCTTGCTTGTCTGAAAAAGTGTGCCTCATTAAGTTCTAACAGAAAAACAAAGTCTTTTGGAACAGCACCACCTATTGCCTGGAGGTGTTAGTTATATAATAATTACACAATTTGTTGTGTTTTAAAATTAATATATCTAGCCTTCCCATTAAGAGGAGATCTAGAGACTCAGAAAGAAATCCAATTTGATTTAATGCAAGCAATATATTTGGGAGGCAGGAGAGAAGTAACTGTTGTGTGTGTGTGTGTGTGTGTGTGTGTGTGTGTGTGTGTTTCTGTGCGCAGACTGAGCTTGCCATTTTTCTATAGAGAAAACTATGATATTTTTAATATATAAAAAGGAGCACAGATCCCTGAAAAAGCCTAAGAAACATGACTGAAAAGAGTGACACATTAAGCAGGATAAGATATGTGCTGAAAGAAAAACAAATCTGAATTGGATATTTATTTTATTTATTGAATTTATATGCCACCCTTCATTCATAGATCTCAGAGTGGTTCACAACATAAAAATAAGAGATACAAACACAAACCACATAATAAAAACAAGAACAAAAAAAGCACAAACTAATAACCCTACCCCAGCCCATCTCTCCCAGACACATTTAAAAGGGTATAGGATATTAATCAGCCTAAGGCCTGGTGGAAGAGGAACATTTTTCACCTGCCACCTAAAGATATGTAATGAGGGTGCCAGGTGTTCTTTCCTGGGGAGAGCATTCCACAAATGGGGAGCCACTGCAGAAAAGGCCCCTTCTTGTGTTGCTACCCCCTGGATCTCTTGTGGATGGGGCACATAAAGGAAGACCTCAGATGATGATCGCTGGGTCCAGGTCAGTTCACATGGGGAGAGACAGCCCTTTAGGTACTGTGGTCCTGAGCCACTTAAGGATTTTTAAGTCAAACCCAGCACTTTGAATTGGGGCTAGAAACTAGTTAGCAGCCAGTGCAGTCGGACCAAGATTGCTGCAATATGTTCAAACCAGTGCTTTTGTTCTTAAAAAAATGTTTGGGGGTACTCTCATTTCCCTACTCATATTGAAATACTGCCCCTCAAAGAGGCCAGACTTAGATTCACAAAATGTTTAGGGGTATGCATACCCCTGTGTCTCCCCGGGAAAAAGCACTGGCTCAAACAATCTTTCCCTGGTGATATGCAGTGTGTCCACTGGATAATATGTAATGTCCGTGTTCACAACTCTGAAGAGAGGGTGGGAGAAATTAAAAAAGAATATATACCAAATCCTTGAAACTGAGAAACAGAAGAAATACCAAGGATCAGACCCAACTGCTCAGTTCTATGGATCAAAAGTTATAGATGAATAACACTGACATGTATCAAATTGAGCTTCAAGACAGAGTGTTTTTCAAGGAGGGCCATGAAAGATAGAAATATCTGGCAGTGATATATCAGCTGAGGTAGGCAACCTGTGTTCCTCTAGGTATTATTGGACCCCAACTCTCACCATCCCTGACCATCGTTCAGGCTGGCTGGGACTGACCAGAGTTGAAGTCCAACAATACCTGGAGAACCACAGTGTCCCCACCCCTGATATATCCGTTTCTATAGACCCATGAAGAAAAAGAGGACACACCTGTACATCATTTCCCTTTTCAATGACTCTTTGCTAGTTGATCAGCTCTGGAATGAAGAAGAAAATCCTTAGCAGTACAATCCTAAAAGCATTGACTCAGAAGTCAGTGTCACTCTGTTCAATAAGGTTTCTGTGCACAGCTTAACAGTATAATTCTATAAGTATCTACCCAGAAGCAAGCCCCATCAAGTCCACTGGGGCTTACTCCCAGGTAAGCAACCACAGGTTTACAATCTCACATGAAATTTCCTGTGGATGCACAGCATATTCTGGATCTCCTGGATTGTCCGGTGATCTCCTTTTGCAAGCTAGCATAGCTAGTCCACATGGCACTATGTTCACTTGACTGGAAATGTACATGTATAGGATCATGTCATTAGGCTACATTCTCTTCTAGTGTCACTTTCACAGTCAAACATGCACTGGAGTCACTAGAGGGATACCAGGGTTTCACACAGCACTGGAAAAAGATGGCACACTTACACACTCTTGCTTCAGCAGATGGCATTTGTGGTACTCCCAAAAAGCTTTCACAAAATAAAAGGAATGATTAATAAAGCAAGAAAGACAGGCAGCTCCATAATGCAATGCAGCTTGAGTCAGGCAGTTGGAAGTTAGAAAGGGAAAGAACAGGAGTCTTCAGATTGGAAATGCCTGAGAGAAAACACAAATGGAGCTAAATATACTAGCAAGAAAGACATCCGGATTTCACTCCAGCAGCGGATCTTAAAGCAGATTAATATATTCAGTCCATAAAGGAGCCAGACAATTGTAAGACATGTGCTAGTAACTCACTCTTACAAAATTGCAAACATCACCGTTTCTGTGAGCCCTAAGCTGTGAAATGTTGAGCTACATCAGCCTTCCCCAGCCTGGTGCCCTTGAAATGCTTTTGGACTGCAACCACCATCATCCCTGAGTACTGTAAGAAAGAAGGCAGAACATCTGGAGGTCACCAAGTTAGATAAAGCTAAGCTAGGTTCTGAAGCCAGGCCACTGCTATACCAAAAGTGTACTAGCTAGATTTGGACAGAGGAGTTTCCGAGTTTGTTTGTGTCATACTTCCCCCAATTTTGAGGTAGTTCCCAAACAAATAATAATTGCTTGTCAATATGTGTCTATTGGGCTAGATTTCATACAAAAATGTAGCTATTAGATATGCATTAAAATGCTGGCAATTTTTCCTGATGGTTTCTTTCTTTCTTTCTTTCTTTCTTTCTTTCTTTCTTTCTTTCTTTCTTTATTGCAAACTGATGTGGAAATGGGGAGAACTGAACATAAGAGTGGAAAACTTAAAGAGACTGAAATTGGCAGATTCAGCCATTTATACCCTCTGGCATGTTTAGAGTAGGTATATTAGAAGTCTTCTAAAATCAGGCTTTCAATTTAATTTAAAAGAGTTGGGTTTTTTTTAATCCTTAAACCCTGCTCAGCTGAGTGGAAATAGGTAGCCCTTTTCAAAATGCTCCAGTAATGAAAGAATTGCAATTTCCACAAGACATATAAGTTGACCTGTCGCAGCAAAAAAGACAACGTGTCTTGTAGCACCTTTAAGACTAACACAATTATTATGGCATAAGATTTAGCAGTGTAGAGCCCACTTCATCAGATTCATGAAGTGTAATCCTAAACTGGCAACTATATATACCGTACATAAGGTTCTGGGGAGGCAGGATGCAGAGGAGTCAGAGAAAAATTACATGCACATTCAACACATAGTAACAATTATGTAAATGGAAAATGGTTACAGTTAGCAATGACCGTTAACAAAGTATTGTTGGTGATAGCAGAAAGCGTCTGACATTGGTGAACTTATTGACACATGTAGCAGGATAAAAACCTGTCATGTCATCTGAGCTCCAGGTGATACAATTGAATTTCTGTAAAAATTATAATTGGGCAACTTCATGCTTGTGCTTCCCTTTGAAGTTCCTTCATTCCAGAGTGGCTATTTCAAGGTGACCAATGAGTGTGTTGTGTAGGGCCAAAACACCCTTCTACTGTTTTATGAATATTGCCCTTTCGGGTGTCTAGTTTATGCCCATTTATTCATTGATGTGGAAGCTGGATTGTTTCCACCAATGCAGACTGCAGAAGGGCATTGTGGAAGTCTCCCGGAGAAGTGAAAGAGCAGAGCTAAAGGTGAGATTTTGGTCAGGCTTGTGGTCCCCAAGCATTGGGAAGCTAAGATAAACAGTGAAAAAAGTAATGTGTGAACAGAATGAAAGTTATCCTAGAGCTCTCTTGTGGGGTAATTCAAAAGGGAGAAAGAATGCAGTTGACATTGATGAAGTGGTGAAAGAGTACATTCACACTTTCCAGAACACCCTTCAAAGAGCTTTTCAGTCCTACTGAAGGGAAGGAGGTGTTAATATTTTAAAAGAAGCATGGGCAACTGTTCCTGTGTCTGCTCATAGCTCATTATATTTTCTCTCCCTTTCTCTACTGCTGAAAGAAGCGGTGCATATTTTAAAACATGAATAGAGCAGTAAATACAAAACCCATGAATGCTCTATCCATCCCATGTTATAAATTTCTCTACCGTTTATCAGCAATGGATAACTGTAAAATTGGAGCATGAACCATAATTAGAAACACAGCTCCTGGTTATATTTTAACCCCAGGAAGAAAAAGAATAGTCATAGTTGTCAATGAAGAATAAGTAGAGATTCATGAATTTTAGGGTTCTGCCCTAGCAAATTCCTGATTTAATTTCTACTTCATTCATTCATTGTATTCATACATTAATGTATATATTTCATATACGTTATATTTCATTACAACTCTTTTACATCTAAGATGCGTTGCTGTTATTGGCAAGCGAAAAGTACTTTTAAGCAGCTGTACGTATTCTTCACATTATACTTTTTTGTGGAGAATGCTTAAACATACCCACAGGCAATTTCCTGGGCATGTAAGTGGTGACTTGTGAATCAGTCTCAATTTTTAGACAAAAATCCTGCAAGGATTGCCTAGAGCAGCATTTTCTTTTTGAAAAAAAAGATAAACATCTGATGGTCACAGTATTCTAAAATGAGGCAGTGTGCATTCCATTGCTAAATGGTTCTTCTAGTTAAGATATTCTCAGTAATGTTTAACCCACTAAATACCAGAGTGTATGTCTGTTAGCATGCCACACAAATTCACAAGATTAGAGAAAACTGGGGACTCAGAGTATCCATCGACTGGCTACTGTGTTTCTGCTTGATTCCTGCCAATCCGTCCCTTTGAGGGATGGAGTAACATGGTTGTGGCTCTTCATCACGTATGGTAGTCAACAGCGCCCCTCCAGCTGCATCACAATTCCCATCATCATTGACCATTGACCATGCTGGCTGAGATTGATGGGAGTTGTACTTTACCAACATCTGGAGGGCACAAAGTTGACTATACCCCAATGGATAGGCTTATTCATTCACTCCTAGTACTCAAAACCCAACAAAATTACTTACCCTTAGATAAGGTTTTACGTTTATGGGTCATAGCCTTGAGCATGCCTCCTTCCAATCAACATGCTTCTAGCATTATCATACAAATGCATATATAATTTGTCCTTCTCTGTATATCTTCATTGCATGAGCCTCTTCCTATGATACATTTGACTTACCTGACAGGTCTCCCATTGTCTCTGCAGGCTTGTTACCAAACTTCCTAAATTCTGGGGGTTTTGAACACTCAGATCATCCCTTGCCCATCAGAAGCAGAGTTTCACATCCTATGATCCCAAGTGAGCATCTAAGAATGATTCCATTTCTTTGGCATGGAGTAAGTGTGTGTGTGTGCATATGTTTGTATGTAGAGCATTTACCCAGCTAGTGAAAGTACAACTTACACTTTTCAGTTCTGCAATATGCAGGCAGCTCTCATTTTGCAATCTGCTGTGCTGCTTCAACAACCTCTCTTTTTCGTTTTACAACAAACCTTCGCAATTGAACGCAGCTATTTTTCACTCCTACCCATATGCTCTTTAGAGAAGGAGGAGGGAAATCTGTGCTTTTCTAAAGCAAAACCCATAACACTGATTATGGAAAGTCTAAGACCTTTTCAGTTCTTCAGCTATGAAGAACAACTGTGTGTAGGCAGGGATGGTAGCAGCACCATAGCAGGCTCCACCCTCCCAACCTACGCATATTATTGTGAATGTCTGAAACAAGCCTATTTACACTGAAGCCAATTTCTAGGTTGGGGGTGAGGAGCCTTCCGCTGCAGTGCCACCAGGACTTTGCCTGCACGTATTCATTTGACACACCCAAATGACTCACTTACCTAGACTCACTTACCTGGAATTCAGTGGGACTTGCTTTTGAGTCATGGTTTGTTCTGTGAAAGGAGCTATATTCTGAATTGAATACCTGTCAAAGTGCTTATCCCTTTTGGAGCAACCTTCCTCTCCACTTTTACAGGGCTCCTACCATGCAGTGATTGCAAACTTGGGAAATTGGGTCATCTGAAGTCCTCTTCAGAAGCCCTCAGTTTTTCAGTCACCTCTTCTGTACCTCTAATCTATATTTTGAAAGTGTAAGCTCAGAACCTCTTACTGTTCAGATGACCTATAAAAAAAGTGGAGGGGAGCTGCTAACGCAAAGAGGTCATTATGTGCATTTATAAATACTATAGCATAAAATGGTCCTGCTTCTGCATGAGAAGGAAGAATGCTATTAATGTAGCATTTATTTTAATTCTGGGAAGAAGAGGGCAGCTTTAGGAAGGGATGTGAGGTTTTTTAAAGCAGGTAAAAAAAAAACGGTTTTCTGATAAAGAACATAGAATGGAAGCATAACTTCTGATCACGAGTTCTATTTCTTGCCTGTTTCCCATTAACACCTTTCCTTCTAATTAGGTTTTGCTGAATACCTAGGAAAACTAAACAAGATGCTAAGTCACTGAACATTTTATTCAGCAAAATCTTCAATCACACTTAGTTTTTATATATCCTTCCTTCATTTACATGGCTTTGTACCTTACCGCTTGAGTGTTTCATAGCAAGTCATTCATTAAGCAAGCATTTTATTTCTGTTCACAGAAAAGCTACACACGCTTCTCCCAACACACACACACACACACACACACACACACACACACACAGGCTTTATTATTGTGATATATATTTTGAAACAAATTGACTTCCCAGAAGCCGAACGTGTGTGTGTGAGAGAGAGAGAGAGTGCATGTGTGTGCATGCATGTGCCCTGACAGAGGTGCACACATGCATGCACATACATTTTAACAGAGGAATTGGGAGTAATAAGTTCCTTTTTTGCACATTACACAATCACAATTTGCGTCCCTCCTTATCTCCACAGCATGGGAACTGCTGCAGTGCAACTCCTTCCTGAACCACAGAAATAGCATAAATGGATGCTCACAAGGTAACTCTTCCCCAGCATAGCATTGTTACCCATGAAAGCCAGGAAAATATTGGCATGGAAACAAGGTGCACATTTTCCATTTTGAGAAAGTATTGTCGGTGCTATTTATATAATGACTGCCATGATGGGTTGGCATAACAGGAAATAGCTGCTATGGGTGGATGGCATAACACAAAATTGCTGCCATGTTTACAAGAACAGGAGAAGGACCACAAAATGGTGCAGACTTCACCTTCCATCACTCCTCCCCCCCCCCCTGCAAACAATGTGGAGGGGAACCAACTACATCAGCCACTGCTGTTATGGCTTGGTCGCTCCCACAAACACGAGACACCTCTGGCTGTTAATTATTTCAGATTTATTGCTAAAATAACAAACTAGGATGGACCTCCTCTACTCATCATCCTCCCCAGAAGATGGAGTTGCCCAGACTGAGCTCCTCCCCCTTCCCCAGCACGGAAGCCCCCACCTTCTTTTCCGATATCTTTCATGCACCTCGGCCACTTTTGAGATCCTACGAGATTTGGGAGAGAATGCTTCCTGCATTCCAACATCTGACTCACTATTGGAGCTCTCACACAGCCGCCTGTCACTATGGCCCTGTCTTTCATCTCCCCTTTGTTCAGAGCTCAGATTACAGCTGCTCTCCCCATCCTCTCTGCCTTCCACTGTTAACTGTTCTCTCTCTATGCCTGCTTCTTCTTCTCCTGTCACCATCTGAGCTTTGCTGACAACTGCCTTGCCTGCTTATAGAGACAAATTCTTTGCGGGGGGGGGGGGGGTGTCCAGTCATTAATTCCAAAGAAATTTGGACATGTTTAAGGGGGTATGTTCCATGTAGCAGAGGTTGAGCCGGTTCAAACGAGCTGAGCAGGAAGAGCAAGCATCCTTACATACATTGTGGATTTTTGAGGGGATATTTACTGAGACTGCTCACAAGTGCCATAGGAGGTACTTGAGGGACCACTGCCACCCACAGGTGCCACGTTGACACCTCCTTATAAGTCTCAAGTAGGCTCACCTTGAACAAGGCAGATTTTAAAATGGCCTGGCCTGATTTCATCTGAGGTACTAAGATCAAAACCTCTGGATCTCAAACTGAAGCAAAGCAGAACAATATATTTTTAATTTGCTCAATCCACAACAGATTGCTGGTCTTGGGTAAATGAACTGGAAAGTTCATTATAAACATTTGCGCAACAGACAATTAATGATATAACAAAACACACTTAGTGTGATGCAAATATTTTGTGTCTATTTGCATTTAATTTCATCTCAAGTGTTTGTTTTAGCAATATGTTTTTCATTAACGGTCCTCCTTGAGACAGATCAATGATACCATCTGTCTTAAAAACCTACTTACCAAGCTGTCTTCGTTCAAGGCAGAATCACTTAGATTCAGATGAAGGAATGCAGTTATATCTGAAGGAGAGGGGGGAATAGTCAAGCACATTTCATAACTAAAAATTGCTTGCAAAAAATAAATATCAGTTTATCTTATTCTAGTTACAGTTAGAAGGTCGTAGCTCAGTCCACAGACTTTGCCCAGAAAGAATCCCAAACTCAGTCCCTAGACTCTCCAGGAAAAGGCACCCTTCCTCAACCTGGTGCCCTCTGATATCTGAATTACAGCTGGATTTTGTGTTATCTGTTTTGGAACAGGGGAACACCCTTGCTGTGGGATGCATGCTTACTGAGGTGCTATATGTTAGTGTGAATCTTTGGGGAATTTTTGGTTGGTTCCGTGTTCCATGGCACTGTCCATCACTTCAGTTTTCATTTTGTTTAAACAATTAAAGATGGAAACGTAATTGAATATAATTTAAAATAATAAATGTACCTTACTATGGTCTCTGAATCCCTATTTCTGGGTCAGCCTAAAAATGATTTCTTCAGTTCTGACACCTCCAAACCTCTCTTATTATATTATTTTAATTCTGACCTGAAATAATATCTTTATGTACCAGTTCTTCATCTTCACAGTTAAATGCATACATGTGTATGAATCCATTCATTCTCTTCAGCTATGAATGTTTTAGGTCACTACTGCACAATTCTAGTATAAAGCATCCTCTGCTCATTGAGTCTCTCAATCTTGAGACTTTGTGATCTGTTTGTTTTTTTAATGGCAGAGACCTCTGCCATTATCCAGGGCAGCCAGCTGCCAGTGTCATCTGCAGCAGCTGTTCCTTTTTTCTGCTCATCCTTTCTGAATGGATATTGCTTTGCCATACTGGAAATATGCTCATCCTTTTTTTCCTATCAGTACTGAACCAAATCCCACCCCTTTTTTTTCTAGAAGGGCAAGAGGTTTGAAACTCATTGAACTTGGTGGAGCAGAACTTCAGTGACTGGTGGAAGAAACAAATATGCTAAGATTGCCAGCAATCCATTTTGTGCCTTCATACCTTTTCATTCTTAAGTGATGTGTCCTTCAGTGTTTCGGTGCTTTGGCAAATTTCCACTGCACAAGTGAATTCATTAGGATCCCCATAGAAACTTAGGTGAAATGATAAAATACCTTTAAACTATTCAAACTATCAGATCCATCCCATCAAAATACCCAGTGAAACCACAAAAGCTGTCAATGAGAATATGCAGATACCCAGCATTTGCAACCCACACATACCTTCAAATGGCTTACAGAAAATTCTCTAAACACAATTGATTTCTGTTGGATTCAGTGAGAAAAATCTGGAAAGAACTTTTATTTTTGAAATATACTCGGAGTCCTGTAGTGATTTCATGCTCTTTATTGCAGCTTGTAAAGAACTTTTCTCAAGTCAGAGAGTGGCTATTACCTATTTAATATAGGATTTGGCCGCATTTTAATGTTCAGCTGATTTTTTCTTGAAAGCACTTTCCTTCAAGTTCACATAGGGCATTTTATTTTAGAAGAACATTGGATGCAATTCAGTCAAAACGTTAAGCACTTTAAAGGCCAAAGTGCACCAGAATTCAACAGAATTCAAGTCTAGAGTTATATCAGTGGGGCTTACGGTAATTTCAGCTGGGACTGAGGCCTGGTGGCAGGAGGTAGCAGCTGGTGAAGACCCTCTGCTACTGACACCACTGCCCTGGGCTGCTTCTTCTGGCATTCCAGTGAGCTGCAGGCAGCTGCTGCTGTAAGACTTCACAATATCTTGTAGTGACAATAAGTCAGCCCAGAGCATTCTCAGAAACTACAAGTGCTAAGTAGAGTAGCTTTCCTCCTCCCCTGCCATCATCTGTCTATACTGGTAAGACCTCTTACCCACTCCTGTTCTCCATGGAACAATGGCCACATTCACGCCATACACTGAAAGCTCTGTGATACCTCTTTAAACTGTTGGCTTTACTTTGTTAAAGGCCCTGAGAATTGTTAGGAGACTCCTATTTCCTTCACAGAGCTACAATTCTCAGAGTTCCCTGGGAAGAGGGGTTGATTTTAGCAGATAGCTCACTCCTTAGAGCATGAGATTCTTCATCTCATGGTTGTAGGTTCAAGCCCCATGTTAGGCAAAAGATTCCTGCATAGCAGGGGGTTGGACCCTTTCAACTTGATGATTCTATAAATGTTAAACCAATGCATATATTATATAAGGATTGTTTTGGTGGAACCAAGGAATTACTCGCTTCTCATTGAGAACAAGGAAAGGGACAGGAATTAGAGGGGGGAAATCTACCCGGATAAGACTGACATTGAGATTTTTTTAAAAAAATCCATTCCTAAATATTGCTCCTTGTAAAATCACCACTGCTCTTTGTTGTTTTTTTAAAAAAATGATTGAATAGTAAAAAGGTTGAACTTTAGGAAAGAGGACAGGATATATTGTAAAAGCCACCTTTCTTTTGAAATTGTAAAGCAGTCACGACAGGTGATTCATGCTGGCCAGCACGAATAATGTTGCGGTACGTTTGATAACTGGAGGACAGTTTGACAGAACAGGACCTGACATGGAGAGATGTGGCTTGTCAGCCAAGATGCATTTAAATCTAAGGCTCTTGAGAAGATGTGTTTTGCCCTTTAGCAACATCACGTTGGGGAGAAAGAGGGGCAAGTAGAGATGGCGTGAAAAGTTCTTTAAGAGCAGCATTTTGATGGGAACGGTTATTTAACATTTTTCTCAGATAGTACAATTGATCATATTTGGAATCCTCATTTGGGCAAGTGAGCAATTGGGTATACAAGGAATCTCATTTAACTCAAGGCACACCAATGTCAATAATGAAATTATAGCTGACACTCAATCCGAGGAAGCCTTAATCAGCAGACTGTTGGTGCTCAAAATCAAATAGGTAGCAACGCAGCTTTTAAACTGATTGCTGGAGGAGAGCTGATGGGAGTTGAGGAGCATGTGATTCAGGATGAATCATACACAGTGCTCTTTTTTTCTAAAAAAAATGTTTCGGGGTGCTCTCATTTTCCTACTCATATTGAAATACTGACCCTCAGTGAGACCAAACTTAGATTCACAAAATGTTTAGGGGTATGCATACCCCTGCGTACCCCCTGAAAAAAGCACTGATCATACCTAAGGGATGAGAATGACTACTTTGGTTATATTTTTGCTTTCTAAATAATCTTCATTAAATTTCTAATAAGCAAGCAAGCAAGAAAAATTATTACAGCTGTCAAAACAATCTTCATACAAACAGAACAATATCAGATTGTCAGCCATCCATGAAAAGAAACAACAACAACAACAACAACAACAACAACAACAACAACAATAATTTATTATTTATACCCCGCCCATCTGGCTGGGCTTCCCCAGCCACTCTGGGCGGCTTCCAAAAGAATATTAAAATACTGTGATACATCAAACATTAAAAGCTTCCCTAAACAGGGCTGCCTTCAGATGTCTTCTAAAAGTCTGGTAGTTGTTGTTCTCTTTGACATCTGGTGGGAGGGCGTTCCACAGGGAGGGCACCACTACCGAGAAGGCCCTCTGCCTGTTTCCCTGTAACTTGGCTTCTCGCAGTGAGGGAACCGCCAGAAGGCCCTCGGTGCTGGACCTCAGCGTCCGGGTAGAATGATGGGGGTGGAGACGCTCCTTCAGGTATACTGGACCAAGGCCGTTTAGGGCTTTAAAGGTCAGCACCAACACTTTGAATTGTGCTCGGAAACGTACTGGGATCCAATGTAGGTCTTTCAAGACCGGTGTTATATGGTCTCGGCGGCCGCTCCCAGTCACCAGTCTGGCTGCTGCGTTCTGGATTAGTTGTAGTTTCCGGGTCACCTTCAAAGATAGCCCCACGTAGAGCGCATTGCAGTAGTCCAAGCGGGAGATAACCAGAGCATGCACCACTCTGGCGAAGCAGTCCGCAGGCAGATAGGGTCTCAGCCTGCGTACCAGATGGAGCTGGTACACAGCTGCCCTGGACACAGATTTAACCTGTGCCTCCATGGACAGCTGTGAGTCCAAAATGACTCCCAGGCTGTGCACCTGGTCCTTCAGGGGCACAGTTACCCCATTCAGGACCAGGGAATCCTCCACACCTGGCCACATCCTGTCCCCCAGAAACAGTACTTCTGTCTTGTCAGGATTCAATCTCAATCTGTTAGCCGCCATCCATCCTCCAACCGCCTCCAGACACTCACACAGGACCGTCACCGCCTTCACTGGTTCTGATTTGAAAGAGAGGTAGAGCTGGGTATCATCCACATACTGATGAACACCCAGCCCAAACCCCCTGATGATCTCTCCCAGCGGCTGCATGTAGATGTTGAAAAGCATGGGGAGAGGACAGAACCCTGAGGCACCCCACAAGTGAGAGCCCAGGGGTCTGAACACACATCCCCCACCACCACTTTCTGAACACGGCCCAGGAGGAAGGAGCGGAACCACTGTATGACAGTGCCCCCAGCTCCCAGCCCCTCAAGACGGTCCAGAAGGATGTTATGGTCGATGGTATCAAACGCCACTGAGAGATCCAGCAGAACTAGGAAACAGCTCTCACCTTTCTCCCTAGCCCGCCGGAGATCATCAACCAGTGCGACCAAGGCAGTTTCAGTCCCGTGATGAGGCCTGAATCCCGACTGGAAGGGATCCAAATGGTCCGCTTCTTCCAGGCGTGCCTGGAGTTGTTCAGCAACCACTCGCTCAATCACCTTGCCCAAGAATGGAAGATTTGAGACTGGGCAATAGTTGGCCATCGTGGCCGCATCTAAAGATGTTTTTTTAAGAAGCGGTTTAATAACCGCCTCTTTCAGGGGGTCTGGGAAGGCTCCCTCACGGAGGGAAGCATTCACCACCTCACGAAGCCCATCACCCAGCCCTTCCCGGCTAGCTTTTATAAGCCAGGATGGGCAAGGATCAAGGAGACAGGTGTTTGGTTTCACTCGTCCAAGCAGCCTGTCCACATCCTCGGAGGTAACAGATTGGAATTGATCCCACATAATTTGACTAGACAGGACTCTAGCACTCTCCCGCCCTGGCCCTGCTCCCACGGTGGCATCTACCTCTTCCCGAATCTGAGCGACTTTATCTGCAAAAAACTTTGCAAAATCATTGCAGGAGATCATGTGGCCCGTACTGGGCCCCGATGTAGCAGGTGGTTCCGCTAAATTGCGAACCACCTGAAAAAGTCTCCTGCTGCTGTTTTCTGCAGATGCAATAGAGGCGGTGAAGAAAGTCTTCTTCACCGTCGCTACCACCACTTGGTAGGCTCGACATTGAACTCTAACCTGTGTCCGGTCAGCTTCAGAATGGGTCATCCGCCACTGGCGCTCTAGCCGTCTCAACGATTGTTTCATTGCCCTCAGATCCGTGGAAAACCACGGGGCTGTCCGGGCTCCATGCAATCGGAGAGGGCGCTCGGAGCCAAACAGTCAATAGCCCTGGTTAACTCCACATTCCAGCGGGCCACCAGGGAATCAGCTGAAAGGCCATCAACATGGGATAAAGCATCCCCTACCACTCTCTGGAAACCATTTGGATCCATTAAGTGGCCGGGCGGACCATCCGAATCGGTCCCACCTCCCTGCAGAGGGAAGGGTTGCGGAGAAGTCAAGTTGCACCAGGAAGTGGTCTGACCATGGCACTTCTTTCGTTTTGCTTTTACTTAGTGTCAGATCACCAACATCCATAGAGGTAAACACCAGGTCCAAGGCATGTCCACGGCTATGGGTTGGGCCAAACTTATTCAGGGACAGCCCCATGGAGGCCATGCTTTCCACGAAGTCCCGAGCGGCCCCTTGTAAGGTCGTGTCGGCATGGATATTAAAATCCCCTAGGACAACCAAACTAGGTGTCTCCAGGAGAACATCCGCCACGACCTGAAGCAGCTCGGGCAGAGAATCCTTGGTGCAGCGGGGAGGTCGGTACACCAAAAGGAATTCTGCACTGCCCCTATTGCCCAACTTCCAGAACATGCACTCAGAGAACTGGGTCTTCCCAATAGGACGCCTGGTGCAAACTAATGACTTCCTAGAAATCACTGCAACCCCCCCCCCGCCCACATGACCTGGGTTGCTGTGCGTAAGAGAAACCTGGTGGACAAGCAGCGGCAAGGACAGGCCCATCTGCTTCATCCAGCCAAGTCTCTGTTACACATGCCAGGTCAAATCCTCCATCCATGATCAAGTCATGGATGGCAGTGGTCTTATGAATCATTGACCTGGCATTGCACAGCAGCACCTTCAGGTCATGTGGGTATCCCTTGCTGATTCTAGTATCCGTCCGGTCAGGACCAGACCCGGAGGCAGGGATAGTCCTCAGACAACGACTAAACCTGCCTCCTCTGTAATGACATGATCTGGTCTTAGCGTAACTCCTCCTCCTACCCGTGATCACTGAGATCAGTTGTCCCATTCAGGGGCATCCCCCTCTGTGGAACATGCCCCAGCCATTTTGTTGGCTGGGACCCACTCCCCGGCAGCCCTGACCCCTCCCCTTAAGAACAAAATAAGACCTTAAAACAATAAAAACAAAACAAAACAAAAGAAACCCCAGAAAACAAAAAACAATACAAATAAAAAACTGTAAAAATTACAAATCCATCAAAATCAAACAAATTCCCAACTAAACATCCATCCCACCCCCATCCCCATCCCCGCATATACAAATAATAATAATAAATAAATAAAAAGGAAAAGGAAAATTTAAAAACATTTTAAAAAGAACTCTGCGCCCCTCCGGATCCCCCTGGGCCGCAGCAGCAGTGACAGCAACCGTCCCTGTGAGGCCTGTCAGGCCCTGCCCTGGGCCAGGTGGTAAGTGGCAGGAAGGAGCAGGGCCCTCAGACACTCACACAGGAGAGTCCTCCTGGGCAGCAGAGCACAGCAGTCCCTGTGAGGCTTCAGGCCCCGCCCTGGGCCAGGTGGTAAGTGGCAGGAAGGAGCAGGGCCCTCAGACACTCACACAGGAGAGTCCTCCTGGGCAGCAGAGCACAGCAGTCCCTGTGAGGCTTCAGGCCCTGCCGTGGGCCAGATGGTGAGTGGCAGGAAGGAGCAGGGCCCTCAGACACTCACACAGGACAGTCCTCCTGGGCAGCAGAGCACAGCAGTCCTTATGAGG